ATAAATAAAGAACACCATGGAATATATGCATCAACTAAAACTATTAATGTTAATAATTAATTTATGCAATGAGGTTAATTAATTACATTAGCTGGACTTGGTGTAACCTGTATGCTGTCTTTTTAATCATGGATCTTTAGTCCGTTCCTTCCTAGACTGTCCTACATAAAAACTTCAGCCCAAACTGTCCCTTATTTGCGCATTTCAGAGAACCCACAAACTTCCAGAAACTTTGACATGGCTTCTTTCTTCTTTCATAAACCCTCTCATGCCATGAGCCTCGGGCCTACCAAGCATGTTCATGTGATTTTTGTCCCCTTTTTTTCTTTTCTTTTTTTTTTAGTCACTGGGATATTTGACGTTTATTTTTGCAACAGTAATTTTTGAGTTTGTCACAGTGTCATTTTAAGGTTTAGTCTGATCGCCCCTCCAATTAAGCTGTGCTTCATCCGTTCCCTGCTCCGTTTACACCACGCTTGAACATTTTCCCAAAGACAGTCTACATATAAAATAATCTGCATTTGAGCTGCAGTAACTAAGAGATTATTCGCTGCTTCTATTTTTTTTAAATTCTTGCAACGCACATCATTCATTAAAAGAAAAATGTCATTAAGATATTGATTCAAAAAGAATAATAAATAATCTTAAAAGGGATAGAGATGTAAGGTAGCGACCTTTTGTTGTTGGCCATTTTAAAAATGAAAGTAAACTTCCTTTTTTATTTTCATGAAATTATAATAATTGAACGCCTTTTAAAAAAAAAAAAAAAGAAAGAATTAAGGCAGCATATTTTGACCACCATAAGAGGCATTTTTTATACAAAAAAAATCAAACATGTTTACAGAAGAAAGAAAGAAAAAACACTAAGACCAGATACAATAAGTAGTGTTGTGAAACTGTTGACTGATTTAAGAGATTATCATAATAAGCTTCCCAGTGAAGAACAAAAAAAGGCGTAACGCAATAATAAATAAATTTACAGCTAAAACGGAAGCCAGTTCTATTTATCAAATTTTTGCAGTGTGACAGAGTCTTCCGCTGCCATGTGCACTCGCGCACGGGCAACATTTGCAGGTTTAAACATATATCAGTTGTGTCTTATTCTATCTTCGGACATGTTGAAGACAGAGGAAGAATGTTGTGTTACGCTCGGTTTTGTTCAGGAATGTCCACGATGTCACACGTCGAAGCAAAACGAACACAGGACCATCTCCTGCAAGGTTTTACGCAGCTCCTGGCTCCGGTACGCGTATATAAGCGGGTCGATGAGGGAGTTACAGATGATGAGGATGAGGAAAAGGTTAAAGTTTCGAAAGAAACAGTTGCAGAAGGGGCTGGTGGGACAGGCGAGGATGAGGATAAGGTGTAGAAAGAAAGGGCCCCAGCATAAAATAAAGACCCCGAGCAGGATAGTAAGGGTTATGGCTCCTTTCATACTTGTGGACTGGCGCCTGTTTTTGTGGAAAGCCACGATGCGCCGAGAATGCACGTGCGCCAGGACAAACATGTGCAGGTATAACACGGCGTTGAATACCAGAGTAGTGCAGAAGAAAGTGACGAGGCACACGATGACGGCGTTGTCGGTGTGATATACGATGAAGAGGATGCTGGAGGTGATGCTGGCCAGCCACACCACCACGATGATGATGATGGCACGATGAGGGGTCATGATGCTGTGATACCTCAGCGCGTAAAAGATGGTGATATAGCGATCAGCAGCGATGGTGCACAGAAAGGAGAGAGAGGACACCACGGAGCTGCAGATCATCACGTCGATGACGTTGTCCAGGTGGCGAAGCATGCCGGGGTTCACATCCAGGAGGCCGTGGTCATTGAGAAGCATGAATATGGTCTCCACCACGTTGCTGACGCTGACAAGCATGTCAGACACTGCCAGGCAGCAGATAAAGTAGTACATGGGCGAGTGGAGGTTTCGGTTTTTAATAATCGCCATGATGACCAAGATGTTTTCCACCAGACTGATGAGTCCCAGTGCCAAGAAGAGCTCCTGAGGGATCCGGATCTGAACGCAGTTCAGCCAGTTTCGCTCTCCTGCGGTTGAGTTCGTTTCGTTCTCCTCCAGAAGGTCATTTAGCGGTCCGAAGTCCGTGTGAAGTATGGAGGGATACTGCAGGGACCCGTTGGTCATTTCCATGTCTGCCTTCTATTAGGTAACTGCAAGCTTTTAGCTTTTCAGGTGCTCCGTGTGGGTTTTAGGCTGCTGCAGCACAGATTTAAACTGGGTAAGGAATCTTCATCAGCTGTCTCTGGAGCTTAGAGGATGCTTCTACATCAGCTGTCGCAGTTACACCTTGCTTCTGAGCAGTTTGGGGATTCAAGCAACTCATCCAAACTGTTTGTTAAACCCATGGAAGCCTCAACCGTCCAGGATCATCAAACTCCACGCAAAAAGTTCAAGTATATGTATTTATATTTATTGCAGCCATTAAAAGCCTGAAAAATCATCGGGGAGCTACCGCGTTGGTCCCGGTGAAAAGTGCGTTTCTTGACTCGAGTAATCCTTTTTTTTATTATAACCTATTGAGTTTTTATTATTATTTTTCGCCCTATCCAACCAGCTGCTCCGGGATGGAAATCTGTAATCTTTCCTTCTCCACTGAAATCTTGCAATCCGAGTTCACGTTTTTTCCTCAAACAGAGCAGCCGAGCCACCAGAATCCTTCCATTAGTTCAGATTGTTCTGACCAGCACAGTAGCAATGAACACTGTCTATAGTATACTGGGAACGAGAGAGAGAGAGAGAGAGAGAGAGAGAGAGATGCCGGATTATTTCGCACAGTGATGCTGCGTCCTGAATAACTTAAGCGGCTCCTCCTCACAAGCGTCAGCTGCGCTGCGGTCCTGTCTGCGAAAGTTGTGCCAAGTTTTCTTGGGAGAGAGCTGAACGGTGATGGATTGCATTTAGTAATAGTTCGATCTGGTGTTTTTTTTTTTTTAACACTTTCCTTTCTGCTTTAAGAAAATGCTTCACTTCCGCTAATATTATTCTAATCAGAGTCTTGGTGTCCAAAATATAATTTCTGAAAGCTAAAAAAGAAAAAGCTCTGAAAACTTGTACTATTTGTACTATACTTTCTGGAAAGCAGATTTAAATCTTTACTCGTAGTTAGCCTCTTGTTTTGTTCTTAGATATTCTCATTTTAAAAACAACTGCACATATAAAGATGCACACGCCATGTCTGTGTGTATTTTTTATGAGACAGTAATAAAGAGAGGGGTCAAGAGGGATCTTGACACTGTGCTCAAGTCATATTTGCCCAGGTTCCTGCAGACGCAGGAAGTAGGTGCAGGTAGGGAACAAAGTTGGTCCCTTAACATAGACACAGCATCTGCTCCTGCAAGCACAAGCACCTGCAATGTAACTAAATAATCTAAAAACAGTCAGAATCCATTTGTTCTGATTTAACTGTGACCAAATGAGGGCTTGGGGTGTCATAAAATTCACCTGAGCTGCTAATTCAGTGAGTGTGGGAAACACATGTGCAACTGCCACACATGCAAGGCTCCCCTTCACTGCTTTGCAATATTTTTTTAATTTTATTTTTGTTAAATCATCTTTAAATAATTATGGATGGTAAGTTATGAAAACTCTTTAATGATGTCTTAACAACAAAGGAAATTGTGTGATAGTAAAGATCTTTCTCTGAAACAAAAAAAAACCTTCAACCTAAACTTTCACTGCTCTCTAAAACATTAATTTAGGACAATAATCTATAAATGACAATTATGCTGTTAAAAAAAAATCTAAACAGATGCATAATTCTAGATTTGGTGTAGACACTGTGAGGCAATTCTTGGCCTGGGTCAGTCTGACCAGGTACATATTGTGAAAACATTATATATGAAATCTAAGGCTTAAGTAATCCAGGACAAAATCCACACATCTACCTGTGCTTAAAAATGATTTCCATTAAAAATAAGTCTTAAATAGCTTTAAGACAAATGTGCAAGTGAAAATCTTGGTGTTCATAGAGCAAAACGTGCTGTTTGTGGTTAAACTTGCTTCTCAAACTAACGGCACAGTAACTTTGGTACATATCCACACAATTTGTTAAATCAAATTTAATAATTTCAACTTCAACTTCTTCAGCATGTTTATCTGGTCTCAAATTCACTTGTATTATCAAAAGTGACAAGTCATGCAGGCAAACACGTCACGAAAAAGTAGCAGACCGGCTTCTGTCCAGCTTCTGAAATTTGAGGATTTGCCGCGTCATTTAACCCTGGAGAACCCATGGGGTCAGAGCCGACCCCATGGGTTCTCCAGGGTTAATTTATACAATGACAAAAATATCAGGGGTCACATGTAGTCATGTGACTATGAAAAAACAATTCTGAAATCAAGTAAGTTGCACAATATTTTTTGTTGCAACTCTGCATTCATTTCTTTCAGGAATTTCAATTTGCTCTAGGTGTTTTTGTTAAATTATGTTATGGCAACTGGTCACATTTAACCCACAGCACCAGTGGTAATACTGCAGTCCCATCAGGCAGCCTCTGAGCCACTAATCTGAAAGCGCTTTCAATACAGCAGAATGATCACATGAAAAGTTTTCACAACAACACCCATAGCTCCAGGTGAATTAGGAACAATGACCTCATTTGACCATCTAGCACAGTCACCCACATCCTTGTGGCTCATTGGAACACAAAGTAAGCAGGTATGTTTCAAGCGTGTACAGCATCTCGCAATGATTTTGTCCTTTGACTGAGAGTAACAGACCTCAGGCTAGCTCGTCATTTGTGTTTGTATTGAAAAATATGTTTGAACAGTGACTGTAAAGCATAAATGGGGTGAATTGTATCCCATGGATAACATGAAAGGACACTGAGAAGAAAGGGCAACAGTTGGAGAGTGTTAAAAAAAAATAATAAGCACAAGTTAAAAACGATAAATATCACTGATGATAACAGAAGCATAGTTACTGCTTCAGATTTAGTGTGCATGGAATGAGCATAATCAAGTGAGGTCATGAGAATCTGAGTGTACACCGAAAAGAGTTAATTTAATCACCAGTTTAAGAGATAAAAATGAAAACATCTGCCATAGCTGCGTTGTCAATTAGTGCAAGTAAACTGAAACTGAAATGTGAGAATCGGTGCCAAAGTCTGAGAGGTAATAAGAATATTAGAGAAAGAAAGCAGCAGAATTTAAACAAACCAAGAACAGCAGCCAAGATGATTAAGACAGTGAGTAGAAAATACCACGAAGACCACAAAGACAAAACAAATCTAGTTTATCATGTTTAAGGATGCTTAAAATGATGTCAGGTGTGTACGTGGAAGACCTTTTCATGCTTTTTGCAACAGGTCACAACAGAAGTGCGTCATCAGCATCTTGCTGAGGTTTGTGTGGTACTGTTTGTCATCAGAAATGACTCAGTTTGATTTCATTTATTACCAAGAGTCAAAACACTTTAAATTTTTTCGAGTTGCCCCCGTTATATTTTGGAACTTCTTAATTATTCAGCCGAAAAATCATAGAAGTCTCACAGTAAGATTATTATGGCTACAGAATCCCTGCAAAAATAAAAGAAATGCACATACGAATGCTTGGATGTGGATCAACTATAATTCAGTTCAAATTATAAATAAGACCTAAATGGATGGCATGACTAACTGAATTTGCGCCAGAAAAAAAAGGCAGTTTCCTCTTTAGAAAAACAGAATTGATCGATTTAAAATGCTTTACTAGCTACGCATTAAAATATTCAAGTTAAAAAAAAGTAATCATTTTAGCCTTCAAGAAAACTTCAAAGGATTTTTCAGTTTGTTTTTATTGGGAGTAATCAAATCAATGAGAATAAAAAATTTATGATTCTGTGTATATGTATTAAAGTGCAGATAAGCAGCAGTTTGCTTTAGAACTTGCACTCAGAATGAGACTACAGGAATCTCACTCTAGCTTCGTAAAGCTTCCACTGCAGGTGTTTATGAGAGAAAATGAAAAACTCTCAGAAAGCCAGAAACCAGAGGAAGAAAAGCAGGACTTATTATCCGTTAGTGCTGCTGACCTGACAATGCTTGGAGATTGATTATGGAACTAATAATTATAAATAATACACTTAACCTTGGCAACATGACAGGTCCAACTAACAATCTGCTTTCTGAGCTTGGAACAAAGTTTGCCAGGTTCACATCCATCTACATTACCCCAGTAGTATTTATGTTTGTTTTTTAAAATCAGTCTAATATTCTGAAATTATGACAACAAAATAATATCCAGCTGTCCAACTTATTTTCCTTGTAATTATTAACATCACTTTTTTTTTTCTTCAGTTTTTCAGTTTTATTCCTCTTCATCCATCACTTAGTCCACCTCTATCTCCTCTTTCAGTCCCATTCATCATCATCTCTGTAGGGGTTGTCTTCTCTTGGTGGCTCCTGAAACCGGATATTTGCCAGCATGTCCCTCATTGCCACCATTAGGCGATTTACTTCCTGGTTCAGCTCCTGACCAGCTCGAGCCACTTCCATGTCATCTTCCTGCCTCGGTGGATCCTTGAGAATGAAGGAGAGATTATTCAGTCTACAAACTTCTAGTGAGGTTCTTATATAGTGCTTTTCTACTCTACCTGAGGACTCAAAGCCCTTTATACAAAGTGCCTCATTCACGCCCATTCTTTCTATCTAACATTCAAACACATTCATACTCCAGTGGATGCATCAGGTTATCTTTCCCAAGGATATTTGGCTGGAACAGCCAGGGATTGAACCATCAACATCCCAATTAGTAGATGACCCGATCCATCTCCTGAGTTACCCAAAGTGCTCCGCTACAATGGCCTAATAATTTAACTTGTTCTCAGAAATAGTTAACCATTGCAAGACATTACTTTAACTGTGCTGATGGTGTCCAAATAAATATACGGCATCTACGTTGGATATAGCAAAATAATCTAGGGTTCATGTTATCAAACACAACTTTAGGTTGTTTTCAGAAATGTAATTCTAATTTACGGCCACGTTGTTCTTTAAATATTAAACTCTTAACTATATTTCCTTTATCCATATTGCATCTCTTCCTCTCCATAAGTGGATAACAGAGTTGGAACTGTCCCGTTGGAAACATGCCTCGGGCATATCCGTTAACAGTAAGCATGTACAGTTGACTGTGTGAGTGTTTGCCATACATTTACTGTATCTTAAAGTGGCGGAGATTGGTGTGTGCTGCATGCTGGCAGGAGCCTGTAAGACCAATGAAGACATTCATGCTCAGCAGGCCAGTCATTGGAAAACTGGACATAAACCAGACACATGTCATGCTCAGTGTAGCACGAGAGAAGTGCTTTAAGCCATGAAGTGGATGTGGTGTCTTTGCAATAATCACCTTCACACATTAGATAAAGTAACAGTTAAAGGAATCTTTCAATTTAGTCTTATTTGCAGAAAATAACCAAACAAGGTCAAAATGGGTTCAGTATAGGTCCTGCTTTCCATGCATTCGTATACCATTTTCACACAGAAAGCATGTTTGCAATTTTTTCCCTTCCTCTTAAGGGCATATAAAGTAAAAAAAACCAACCAAAAAACTCATTTTAAATGCAAGGGCTTTACTTAAAATCCACACTCTGATATATTTGCAGAGTAAAAGTACACCATTTAAACTGCCACATGTTATGAACTTGTTTACCAAAAAGCCTTTGAATGCCTCCTTTATGCAGAATCATACAAGCGAGTTTTTTTATCATCAGCAGGTTTTGTGAAAAGCAGTGCATTCTTTTTATATCGCTTGTGCCAAGTAGATGAAATCATCCTCTCTTCAGCACATTTTCCTTGTCAGAAACATCACAGAAACTGATGCTGTGAGAATGTACACTGCTATATACACTGCTCTTCATTTTTTTATCCCTTAAACAGCAGCATCTTGTAAAATTCTGCTAAGAAATCAGTGTTGGTCCATGTTAATTATGGCCAGCACAGATCAGTGAAAAGCTGTATTTTAGCAATGTTGTTTCAGCTGTCCGACTGCAATGGTCAACGCTTGCAAAGCCTTTTCTAGTTAAAAGGTATTAAAGGTAAGATGCTAGGTTGAAATGCTGCAACACTGTAAAAAAAAAAAAAAAAGAAAAAGAAAAAAAAAAGAAGAATGCAACTAGTAAAAAAACAAAACAAAACATTGTTCCACGTCTCACTGTCAACCCCAGCATAAAAATGTATGCGCTGTGTAATCTTTATACATTGGTTCTCTTTCACAGTCTGAGCTGAAATGCAGATCATTCTGACGAAACAAGACGTAAGAAAATATCGAGACAAAAATCAGCCTCCCTGCTCATTCACCTCACTATTTGCTTACATCTTGTTTCTGAAGAATGGGCTGCTGACATCAATAAGAACGAAAGATAGTAATGTAAATCATGATGGAATTGAACAGTTTATGTAATGAAGCTTCCACGTTTTGACATTTAAATTAATCCAATTAACTAAACAACTTCCTATTAATAAAATATATCTAAAAAAATAAAAAATAAAATAGATCCTATAGATTTCTCAAACAGTTAACTAAAAATCTGTAATATCTGCATGAGCATTGTGAGCCACTCTACACTATATAAGCTACATAAACTTAAAACTCAGCGAGCTTTAAGCTGGTTTGTGTGAGACGGGATGAAAATGGTTTAGTGTTCATACATTAACAGATGAACAGAAGAACCCTGATTTTACAAATACGGGTGTCATTCAAGATGAACAAAATGTAAATTAACGAAGAAATCCAAGCACTGAACTTCCTTATTTGCAAAGAGAAAGCAGAGACATTGAGTCAACTTTGCACTTCATGAATGTTGTTTTCTTGAACTTGGAAATGGTCGACAGAATTAACTGTAACTCTTTTACGCTACGTCCACACCTACACGGGTATTTTTGAAAACGCAGCTGTTTCGTCCACACGTAAACGGCGTTTGGAATCACCAAAAATGGAGATTTTTTTAAACTCCTTTTTTGCGCTTACGCGTGGACGAGGAATACAGAGTTCGTCACGCAACGTCAAAGGTATGTGCCTTTTTTCATGTTACGCTGTGCGCCACGTTTTTGTTTACATGAGATGAATTACAGAATGGCAGATCAAGACGAAATACTGTTAATCTGACTATCTTCAGGTTTTACACGCTTACATATATACACGCAGTTACTGTCCTTCCATTTAGAAAAGCAGAGGCATCACGGTGTAATTATTTTACATGTAGTTGTTTTTTTCCCTGTGTAATAATATTCAACATTGCAATCAAATCAAAAAATGCCTCTCTGTGCAAAATGGGTTCAAAAACAACTGTGGGATACTGTTTGTCCATGATTTGAACCGGGGGACAAATTGTGGCAGGATCAGCCTGATGTTATTTGTATCCCACTGTAACTTTAATGTATAAAGAGCTAAAATCTCCAAAATGTCAGGAGTAGTTAGTCATTACAACAAGTGTTTGTGAACTAAAAATCAAGAATGTGGGATACTGTTTGTCCGTGATTTGAACAGCCCAGCGCTGCTCCCGACAAAGGGAAAACTAATTCTGCAGGGGAGACCTACCTCGGCACTTGTGCAGGTGAAACCAAAGGGAAGATATGCTTCACCATATTTTCTAGTCTTTGGCCTTAGAATGAAGTTGGTTTGGAAACATATTCTGCGATGCTTCATCTCCTGCTTTGCGTTTCTGTAGGCGCCCGTGCTAGCAGTGTCTAAGCGTTTTGTTTTTTTTCCCCCCTTTTCATACCGCGCCCCCTCTGCCATGGCTCTGCGCCCCCCCTACTTTGGGAAGGTCTGCCTTAGGGTGACCATGAGTCTTAAGAGGAAAACTTCCATCAGTCATGGATATGTTTTAAAATATTTTCCCAGATCGTTTACCAGCTCAGCCCTGCAGGGTGCTGCTATTAAATGGGTGTATCTGTGGGTGTCTGCTTTAATCATAAAACCAAAACACAACTTTGCTTGAAATGCATCATTCAGGGTGTTGAGGGCGAACACTAGACTGGAGTTTGCTTTGGAGGAGGTATGACTGTCATCAGAACGTGTCAGACCCACGGACCGTTTAGGAAGGTGAAAGAGAGAGTCACTTTATTAAACTTTATTACGGAAGAATAAAAATATTGATTTATTATGTGTCTAATTTTAATTTCTTTCTCATAATTACAAAGTACCTGCACAGAGTAGAGGTTAACAACATTTGCTCTTGTCAGGAGGTGAGAGCCAGACATTTTTTTAAATTCTGTTATCTGACACCAAATTAATTTATCATAACTTTGAAAAAATTGTTTATTGTATTTCATTTTTAATCCTGATTTTTCAGTTCTTCAAGTCCCATCTCTCAGGCAAAAATATGGGCTCAAATTGTGGTCATAAATATTTTGTACTTCAGTTCAGTTTTGTATGTGTAAAAAGAATTTGTGTGCGTAAAAAAGATTTGTATGTGTAAGTTGAAACTCTGCACTCAGGTTTCAACTTACAAGTATGGATTTTGACCCTATTTTTCTTCCTTTCAGCTGATTGGTCAATGTCATGTCAATCACAAATTTAACTATCCAATCAGAGAACAGATGGGTTTGGCTGTCGGAGGGGCGCTTTTTTGAACTGCAGGTCCTTGAAGGATAAATGCCCTTTCATGTCTCTTATCGCCACACCATGAAAGAAAACATTGGTGTGTGTCCAAGTAAACTTTTTCTTACAGGTTGACGTGCTTACACAGGGACCAGCAGGGCATTTTCAAAGGCGCTGTCAACCTCGGAGGAAAAGCAGTGTTGTGGAAATGACACACTCTTCACTTGTTGGGACAGTTACAAAGCTTTCCTTGTTATGAACGAGAGATACGTTTTTATTAAACATTTGAACTTAATACAACACAAACTCTCGTAGAGGAGATAAAGTCAGAGAGATACATGTTTTGAAACGACAAAGATCAGGTGCGTCTAGTACACCAAGAGCGGCCACTAAAAAACAATATACAAGCAGAGCTCAGCAGCCAGCGCAACAAATTCTGGATCCTTCGCTCTTAGTTAGCGGTGAGCACAGAGCATGCCGCGTCTGATGTGAAACGGCCTTTATGCTGCATAGTGTGACTCATAGCAGTGGTCCCGGTTCAACACTGATTTTGTATTAAAGTAATACTAAGGTAATAATGGTATTTCTGACCACTGGTATACCACAACTGTATCCTTTCAACAGCTACCAGGTAAACTCTCATTCAAAGCTTTGTGGCTCCTTTAGTGATGTGGTAAGTAAACTCAACAGACATCGTTGCAAGAAATCAGAGAACCAAGGAGAACATAATTAAATCACTTTACAGCCCTCTGAGTTCACCAGTTTATAATGATTCATTCACTAACTGCGCTTACACAGGTTTAAAAGAAACAAACGAGTTTTGTGTCAGGGGCTTATAGCTTAGTCACATGGTGTTACCACATGCACACACTATGGGTTCTTTATTTGTATTTCATGGTATTCTAAGCCTATGCAGCTGTTTAGAGAAGCTATAGCAGTAGCGTATGCTCTTGAAAGTGAGGAGGGACATCTACAGTATAACTGAATGTCATCCATCAATCCTTTTACACTGGCTAGTTTTCAAAATGTTCCCCCCAACTTCATCGTCAATAGCTTCACATCAGCATTTACCCCTCATTTCTGACACAACCAACATGCACGATCAGTGCTATACCACTGCACACATTAAAAATGAAAGTGCATCAGAAAATGAGATAATACAGACCTACAAACGATATATCTGTCTATTGTTTTATTGTAAGATAGCTTAATTTAACAGTTTGCAAAGAAACTAGTTACTCTCTCTTCCTTCTGTTTTGCTATGTCCATGTATCTGTGTGCTTGTGAAAAAGACTCTGCTGCATGTCTGTGTGGCAAACGCAGCACAAAACAGAGGGGAGGCAAAACTGAAGTTAAAGACAAATTGTTATGAGTGCATTTAAAAGCTTCCTGACAAGCGTTAATCAATAAAAAATCTGAAATAGACATTGACCCTAGAAAAATACTGATGTTGACTGACTCACCTGAATGTTAAAGTTTGGCAGCAATGACCGGAAAAACAGTGAGAGTGTACTCTCATTGGATGCACCAACACGCTGCCTATATGCAGACGCAAAAATAAACAAGTCATGAAGTTAAAATGAAAATTGAGACAAAAAAAAAAATTATAAGGATCCACAATTACCTTTCTGGTCGTGTATATGATATCACTGAGTCGAGTGGGGGCAAAGGATCAAACCCCATCACAGGCTGAGTGGTCACCTCCTGGTAGTGAAACAAATCCCCCCAAAAATACATGAATATAGAACAGAAATGCTAGTTATCAAATGCCTGTGTGCAAAATGATGGATGGCTTTTAAGCTGTCTGGCCTCTTTCTTCAGTAATTTGAGAAAAAAGAAACAACAAAAAAAAAAACTTAAGTTGTTCACAAAGTCCACTGCTCAGAAATAAAACTTTTTTTTGAGCAGTGTAGTTTTTCTTTTTATAGTTTAAATCTACGACTTGGGTGAGCTGGAGAACAGCAGACTTCTGTTAGAGTATGAAATACAGCTATAATCGTGTGATTTTGAAGAAACTACATTTGGTACAAACCTTTAAATTAAAATTTATTAGACAATTTAATAGTTTGTAAAACAGCTATTGCTTCTCACAGGTCTTCTTTGCTCTAGCTGCTTTCCACTAACCACACACCATAATCTGGTTCTGCCAGAGATTTACGTTTTCTCTGCACTGTGGCTGTGTGCTTGTTCACAGGGAATCATTTACCACAATGACACTGAGATTCTGTGATTTACAGTGAGAGATTTGGAGAGTGAACTGAAGACACTGAGATGTGTCACTAGCAATGGTTGGAGTATGCTTTCTGCTATCAGGGTGGTGCCTCAGACTGTTCAGCACCCTAATCAAGGTAACGTAACCAAGAATATTTGAAGAAAAAAACAAAAAAATACAAAACATTTACACTTCACTTGCAATTTGCTGTGTGCAGTTCTCAGAATAGAAGATGCTGAGGTGCAGATGGTGATTGTTTCTTACCAGAGGCAGAGTTGAGGTGGCTTCTTTGACCTCAGAGAGTAGGACATGGCGATGGATGTTCCTTGGTGCACTTTGGTACCTCTGCTTTCTCCTATAAGAAAGACACGAAGGGGAAGGTTTTGAGAGGCATGTACTTTTAATTAAAGGAATACTAAGTGCAGAGGTAAGACCCACCCACAGTTAATTTTGACTCTCTTTGTCATCAACAAATGCCTCCAATGTTAAAAAAACAAAAGAACAAGAAAAAAAAAAAGCTTACTTGTTTTGGCAGTCCTCCACTACAGGGTCTTTGGCATCAACTCGTCGCAGCACTTCTTTCACCGTCTCTTCCAGCCAAAGCATTACTGCAGCCTCCCTCCACAGAGTGTAAGTTCTCCCCACATACAGACTTGTCAGTTCAGCCAGAGCTGGCAGCTGCCTAAAGATGGAACAAGTGCAAAGGGCTTTAACATGAGGGTACAAAGATGGAAGAAAAAAAAATGTTTCAATTGTTTTTAAAAACTTGCATTGTGCAATAGTTCGGAAAATAAAGAGAGCATACGTTACCTTATCTGACTATTTGGACCAAAGAAGCTATGGGAGGTGACTGCGGCATCTGGCTGCACAGTACACAGATCCAGTAAAGGCATCAAGACTATAGTGGGGAGAAGGGAAACACGTCAAAGGGCAGGGAATTACAAAGTTACACTTTTCAAAGGGTGAATGGTAACAGTCCTGGAAGTTATTAAAATTCTTTAGAGTATGCCTTAGAATATGAAGAGCTAATTAAAGGGCAACCATTTGATTCAGTTCATTGCTGAGGGTCTAACCTGCAGGGAACATGATGAGGGCAATCTGCAGCAGCTGGTCGGCTTTGTGCCTTTGTTTGTGACTTTCTTCAGGGTCCATATTTTCCTGCTGACTTAGATGAAAATGACAAAGGGCAGTGGAGAATGCAAAGTTTGGCAGCTGAGACAGATTTCTGTGCTCCTGAAAAGCAAAAACAAACAAATTCCTGTCACAGACTGAAAATTTAACAGTGGCACACTAACTCCGGCACGCACACAGAACGTAAGTGCACACTTTACCTCCCAGTCCTGATATAACTGAAGGACGGATTGGTACTCTCTGGAACGAAGTGCCAAGAAATCAATGAGCAGCAGCATGCAAAGAGGGTCAGAGTCCGGGTCCAAACTAATTCAAATGGGGAAAAAAATGAATATAAAACAATCATGACAAAGATGTGTCTTAGACTAAGTACAAATAAAACTATCACACCACGATGATCTGGGCTGCTTACGGTGTTTCAGACATTACAGCAACTGTTGGTTATGGCATTTAGGGATATTTAATAAAGACGGCATTAATGCAGAGGGTCGAAACCAGACAGCTCCAAAACACCACTGCTTTGCTGTTTGTCTCCTCAGTAGATTTTGACCCTCAGGCAGAAAACCAACTGAAGTAACCAGGAGGGAGGTATTAATCTATGCACACAAGTCTCTTTTTACAATAGCTTAAAATCAACCCAAGGGCAAAAAAATAAAATTCTTTAAGAACAACTGTGATTATAACGACAAATAAAGTTTGTGTGTTAAACATCATAGCAGATGAGATTATTACTTATCTTCTTTAATCGTCTCATATAATGTATGTGTAGCATTTCTTTAAGTAACGTGCTAAAGATTCTGTTAACGCAAACAGTGACAATATCTGCCGGTGACAAAGGGCCAGTGCTTTTTATTACCACACTGCTGCTCTTCAGGCCGAAACATTAAATCAGGAAGCCAGAATTTGATGAAAATCACAAAAAATATTGACAACTATATGAATAATCTGCAAAGCTGAAGCGTATGGCAGCAGTGTCCCCACAGGAACACTTCGTGGAAAGATTTTTGGTAAGTGATTTCTTAACATAAGAGATAATGATATAAACACATGGACTGTTTTTAGATTGGGTCTCCATAAAACTTTAATTCTATTATGTGTAAAAGACAGGTCATGATATTAGCCCGAATCTCAATACATGACCTGAATGAATGGTCTGAAACACATGTTCAGTTGTTTTTTTACCTCATAAATAATTCCGAGTCCATCTCGGATCATTATCAGCAGACAGTCTCACCACATTAGTACGCATAAAAAAGGTGCCTCAACAAATTTGCCTGTTTAGTGTTTACTTTATAAAGGGAATAAAGGTTCCTCTTGTTTAGCTAGAAAGTCCTTTATGTAATACTTTTCATGTAATGAGACAGTGAAAGCGTCTAAATGTGAATCCTCTCTCTTTGAGTAGAAACAGATTGTGTTCTTTCATCATTATTGCTCACATGTCCAATCAGCCCATTAATTCCTCAGCAATTAAGAAGGTAACTAGCAGCCAGGTGTTGCTAATCAAATGCAGCTGATTAACTGATCATCACGAGCACCTCGAGAAAAGCAGTTTTGACCGTTTAAACGTTTGGACCATTCAAGTGCGTTACAAAATGCCGCGATCTTCCTAGGACTGGACGTCCCAGTAAATACACCCCAAGGTTAGACTGCGCAATGCTCAGGGAAACTGCAAAAAATATTAAATGTCAAAGCTAATGACAGTGAAAAGAATGCCTGAACAAAGATGGATTATTTGGAAGCGTTGTTAAGACGAGGCTTTTTCTCTCTGAAAAGAACATGCCAATATGCCTTAGGTTTGCACAGTTGCATCTGAACAATGTTTCAAAGGTCTAGTGCAATGCCCTTTGGACAGATGAGACCAAAGTGGAGATGTTTGACAGCACCACATTTGGTGAAAACCAAATAGCATATGAGCACAAACATCTCATACCAACTGTGAAGCTGGAGGTGATGATTTAGGCTTAGTTTTGCAGTCACAGAATCTGGCCACCTTACAGTTACTGTGATGTTCAAAGTGAATAAGACCTCAGACACTGGACAACATCCATCTGGCAACCACTGGTTGCAAAGGAAATGTATTCCCTGACTGGTTTCCAAGTGGTTGCTGGCAGTTACCAGATGAAATTGGTAACAAAAGTTATTTAATCCTGCAGCAAAAACCTCTTAGCAACAGGTCACTAGCAGATTGACTTGATTGTCAGTAGTTTGCATGGAGCACACCGACTACTGCGTGGTGAGTGTTTGTACAGAAGTTGGCATCTTGCAAAGAACTTCTGCAAACCTCTCACAAATCAGTTGGGCAAAACACATTTTTGCCCCATGAGCAGTGGTTGTACCATGTCCAATATGACCATGTGTACCATGTGATTGAGAGTTCTCAATCACTGTGTTTAGGATGTCACAAAAAACCTCTACAGAAAAGTATTTTAGAGTCAAATGTGAGGCCATCTGTTTGAAAATTTAAGTGTGACTGAAATTTGGTCATCCACAACAGGACAATGATCCCATACACAGCAGCAAATCTATAACTAAACGGCTGAAAAGAAAAGAATCAACATGTTGAGATGGCCCAGCCAGACCTCACCCAGACTTGAAATGCCATAGCGGGTCTTCAAGAGAGGTGTGCATAAATAATTCCTCACAAATATCACTGAACTAAAGCAATTTTATACAGACAAGAGGCCAAAATGTGAATAAAGTCACAGAAAACATGCAACTATGGAAAGTCATAGAATCATTGGGTGCACTCGGTTTTTCACAAGAGTCCATAATGTTATGGAAAGGTCAAACACTTTTCACAGCACTGTAAATTAGTTGTTAAAAAAAAAAATCTGGAACATAATGTTTTATACATCAGTTAAAGTTTGTTTAAAGTGGGAAGAGTCTGAATGGGGAAGAGTGAGGATTTATTATTATTGCTATCATAAATGCCTCATATCTAATTATGTAACTTATTCCTTTCCCACGTTTTAAGCTTTTCTTTTTATACCTCAGGATAAGTTTGCAGTACTCCAAAGCTGTCCTTGGGCATCCTCTCTTCTCCAGGAACATCATGTGCTTATACAGAGCCAGATAAAATGCTCTGCAAACAGGGGATATTGAATTACTGAATTGCTGAGTTCAATCACTTCATAAATATATAATTTAAGTTGAAAACTATACTGTAGAGTCTACAAGATGTTTAACAAAAGTCCAATGTGTAACAACATTTTTAAAAAGTACAAAAGGGAACAACCAACCTGTTTTCTGGTCTCAGATAATCCAGTCTGCTGGTGCCCGACGTCAGACTGAATAAAGGATGAAAAGCACACTCAAAGCTATACAAAGCTCGCTCTGGAAAAAACAAAAACAAAAATACATTTTTACTTAGGAAATGACTATTAAGTATACGTAAGTATAAGTATACAAGGCTGCATCATTCCACCTTTAAAGTTTTGGTACACGAACATGTACCAGCAGTAAAAACAATGTCTCTTACGCCTTCAGCTTGCATTTGGCTGGCACCGTGTTACTACGCAAATCAGACAAATTATCCGTGCAGAGGACAAAGTATCCCTGTGGTCTTCTACAGAGACTATTTCAGAGACATATTTAGGATGGTGCCGGTGAAATTAAACCCATCATTGTCCTTTGCATGAATTTTGACTTGTTAACAGTGGCTAGTTTGTTTACTCACAGTATATCAAGGAACTACCTAACCAAATATAAATCAATGTGGAGAAAGATAGTTTAGAAATGAAGTAAAATGCATTTTTACTTGAAATTATTACAAAGACAAAACATCAGATATTGGAAGTGGATACATTTAGTTGACTAGAACAGACAAAAAACAGGAAAAAAAAACCCAATTTAATACCAGCAACACGGTTTAAAAAAAGAAAATGACAAAACCTCAATTGGCACCGTGTCACATCATCATCACCTATAGTTTAGAAAGCCCAGCATTTTTGCTCAATTAAAAATGGTTTTAATTGATCGAGAGTTCAGAGGGTTTTTTTTCCATTTTACAAATGATGATAAAATACATTTTTAAAATTGTAATTATACTGAAAGAAATGGAACATTAAATGCTTGAATTCTAAAGGTATTCATATACCAAAAACAAATTAAGTAATCCGTTAATACTGAAAAAAAAAGTACAGTATATGCTCGGTCCTCTTAGTGATGATGAACAACAGACATGCACTTAAGCCTGCCTTAAGGCAGACTAATGCCTTAAGACAGGCTGCATTTCATGTCTGTACCAAAACCTCGTGTCTACAGCAAGAACAGAAAGAGTTTGTGTATTAAGTCACTGAGATCAGAACGCCAGAGTGGGTGCAGGTCACACAAGTGAATGAAGCACAACCCAGTTAAGATTCAAAATTTCATTACAGTCTAAAGATATCTGAATAAATCACCATCGTACTTGCAGATCATTAGTTTGCCTTGAAGCTAGATGCGTCATTTGCTCTTAACAGATTATGGTTGAACAGAGTGGATCCCCAGCTATCATCATTTAAAAAAAACCCATGTATTTCATGACACAGAGCATCCAATGATCCTCACCAATAAGGTCCCTAGCCATCTCCTGGTCTTCTTGTATGCGACAGACATCAGAAAGTTGCAGCAAGGAATCGATGTGGTAGGGGTTAAGCTGAAGCAGGGCCTGCCCGGGAAAAAACAAAACAACACAGACGGTACATAAATATTGGATGCAGTGTGCTGCTTCATCACCCACTGGTTTGTAAAACTCTGTATTTAGGCACTCTAAATCTTAATTTTTGACCAGACATCACAAGCAAGCCTTGAGAAACCAAGGACACTGCTTGTTCATATTGCAGCAACTTGTCAAGGTTGACAACCCTTGTTTAACACTGTAATATCCCCTGTTTTATAGGCTGTTTTTCTTATAATTTAATAGTGGTCACGTTGTATGTAATATTATTCCATACTGGTGATTTAAGTTAAAATAAAGTTTTTATTGAAGTCATAGGTCGAGTAAGGCACTGATCACATAGCCCTAAATACCAGTGGCAACCTGCTGGCATTGACTGACTGCTGTTGAAAAATGTATTTTCCCAAAAGGATTGGTGGTTGCTGACAGCCACTAGATGAAATTGGTCATACAAAAGGGACCTGTACCAAAAGCCTTGTAAGTCCTTTGGTCATTATCAGATTGCCATAATTGCAGACTTGTCCACCAACAGTCACTCACTGCTTGCAGAGACGTAATAAAAGCTGGAAAAAGTGTGACAACCCAGAAACTGAGATTCCCCTTCTAAGTGAAAGCTTTGCTTTATGGCTGCACCATCACATTTCAAAAAGTGCAGCTTTTTTTGCATTGTATCCCTCTATTCAGCCAGTTACACCTAGCAACTACAAGCAGCCTCCAACAACCAACGGGCAAGGTAATAGACCTGAGTGACTATGGCCTAAACCGTGGACTCAGACTTCGTTTTGCAAGAAGAAGACTCCCTGGTGACGATTACAAATAAAGTTGTATGAGGTATTTAAGTATTAGTTTCACTTTCACATCCAGAAGCTAATCCTGTTAGATTATATAGAGTCTAATTCTTGGGTAGGATCAGAAAGGACAAATACATATATACATATATTATAGGTGTCTTTAGTCTTCTTGTTTTTCACACTCAAAACCATCATGAACCTAGTTTATCTTTACATTGCATTTGCTTCACGTTATTCATTAAATGATTAAAATATTTAGAGTTTTTCAGTGTAGATTTAAATGTTTTAAAGTAAAAATTAGTTGCCAACATTTAGGTTGACACAGTTGTCGGTGTCTACACACACACAACTGAAGGATTTCATTTACCACAATGTTGTTGGGATCCATGGACTCCACGGCATCCAGGAACTTGAACTGTACTTGTTGGTATTCCCGACTGTGCTCAAACGTGAAGTAATGAACGCCGTCCTTTGTCTCCAGTAAGGTCATTGAGATTCCTGTGGAGAGGTCAGGCAGAAGGAACAAAGCAACACGTAAAGAAAAGCACAACTCATGTTACATTTAAAGTCACTCTGATAAACAACTGATAAATATTGGAACATTTTTTTTAATATATTAAAAAAGATTTTTACGTTAGATGAGAAAATGTGATTCAAACAAAGTGTGAGAATCAAAATTGAACAATTAAATAACCCATCAACGATGACTTTCAATATGTTCACAATGAGGTGGTCTTACGATGGGAGTATCAAATAACATTCACTACATGTTACACCTAAATATCTATTATAACTAGCACAGTTTAGAACTTTTACCCTAAATGTAATTCTTTCAAACTACAAGATAAAGTAGCATGAAAAGATCTTAGCACCATTATGTGCCTGTCAGCTTGAATTGTGTATAGTTAAAAGAGAATAGATCAGGAGCTTTTGATTGATATAAATTGCTGTAGAAACTAATTTATCACAGCTATGTGTGCTTTTGTGTGTCTTCTGCTTTTGCTGTGTCATATAAGAGCTTAACAGGCAAAACTGTCCTCATCCTGGGACAACTGAAAAATACATGTGCACCAATCTAACTAACCATTTATTTACACAGAAAGCTGCCTATACACTGAGTGTCATCAGTAGCGTTCTTGTGGGTGTTTTGGCATTTGAATCGTACCCCAAAATAACCATTAGGTAATCACGAAACTTTTCATGTTTTAGTTTCAAACAGCGGCGTGCAACAGACAAAGTCAACCTTTGATCAGCATCGTTAAAAGTATTACTGAAATTATCAGCAAATCACGCCACATAAAATTCCTTATGATTAATTAATATATAAAAGTATACCTGGGCGGCTGAAGCGAGGCCAGCTGTCCTTTGGACTGGTCATCCAAGTGCTACGGTGAAACTGTCTGTTTCTCTGTCGAGGCCTAACAAAAAAAGTGCAAGATTATATTTTAAACTATAGATGATATAATACATTTACTTGTTTAAAAAAGTGGCACTGACTACTTTAAAAAAAAGGTTTTGCTATTACCTTTGATCCCCTAGAACAGCTCGAGCCCCAAAATATCTCTTCAGCTCCGTCTCAGAGTTGAGATTCCTGAGTTACCACAGAAATTCAAAATGAAAATGAAATTCACTTTGAACTGGTAGAGGAAATGCATTCCAGTTAAATCCAAGTTAAATTTCAAAACAATATCATACAGCAGACAATTTCACTGAGGACCATGAGAAACACACCATATAAGTGTTGAGATTAAGAAGTGGTCGTACCAGAAGCACACCCGATTTCAAAGCTGACTTTATATCAGTCAGAGTACAGAACCAAAATAAAACCAGGTCATCAGTGTAATTGTTTACTGCTTTGGGCACAGACGAGTTTCACACGATTAACTGTATTTTAGCGAGTTGAAAGCAGCAAATAAGGTTCTCACAAAAGCCACAGGAAAAATACAGTTGGGTGGAAATGTCTCAGTGGCTGCTAATCACCTTAATATTATAATTTGACAGTGCAGAATTTGAACATTTATTTGGAACCACCCAGCTGACTTACTGGTACAAAAAAGTGTTTGTTCTGTAACAGTCTTTTAATGCAGAAAGGAACAAATGATGCTTTGCCATTAACATTGGTGATTTGTCTTGTGCAACATTTTCTAAACCATTTTAACTTTTTGCATTTTAGTATTAATAAACTGTTGTACAATCCAAACGACTAATGGCCTTATTGTGTTTTGTTTTTCTTCTGTGAGCCAAGCGCCACCACATGGCAGCATTTCAGAATCACAGAAATTATTTTTGAGGCTAAAAACTAAACAAACCAACCTAAAACTGACTAAATCAAGGAATTTCAGCTGTCCACTGTTTAAAAAAAAATCCTAAAGCCATAAAATGAATGATTTTTTTGTTATTATTTTCTAACTAATGCAGTATGCTAAAAAACTGATTTTTGTGTACAAATATATATATAGAAAGATAAATGCTTCTGCCACCATGCTGGTCAGGTTTGGTTAATGAAAAATGATCCTAATGTGTGCCATTAGGATCATTTTGTGCCATTTTTGATGTCTTGATCAAACATGTCCTCACCTGTGCTCCACATGAAGCACAGGTCTTCTGTCTGACACTCCAGAATCGTCATTTTGCAAACTCAGACCGTTAGACTGCTCCAAGTTTTCCAGCAATAAATCAATGTTATCATCTGCTGCAGCCTCCTGAATGTAAAGCACATACACACACAGTCAGTTCAAAAAGAGGGGATAACGTTATGCATACTGCGAGTTTAGCTTCTGATTCTGAAGCATTAATTAAATATATAGTGTATATAGTAAACATGTTACCTGTCCATCTTCTGATGTCACTTTTGTCTTTTTCTTCTTCTTCTTCTTTTTAACTCTGTCTCCAGGGGGCTGTTAAAGAGAAGATGCACAATAAGATCAGATTTCCACAGACCTAGAAGACTGCAGAAATGCATCACTGTTGCTTTGTTTTCATTTTACCTTGGCTAACTCTTCCTCGTGCTTTTGATCCAGTTTATCTGTGTCTCTATTGTCATTCTTTGCTGGGTCGCTTGTTTTGTTTCTGTTTGGTTTCTCTGCCTCTTCATCAGCTGAAATTTTTTCTCCTTCGATGTCTGCACTACCGATCTGGTAAAAATAGGACATTGGCACTGAAAGCTCTGAAAGCATCCCGTCACAACACGGCACAGCTACAACTCCAACACAAAACAATATCTAATACACGAATATCTGTGTTCATGATGAGAAGGTATATTAAGATGACATTTTAACCACAGCTTGTGGGTGAATTGTGACTTAAATTGTGGGAGGAGTTCATATTTTTAGTTCTATTCTGATCAATGGAGAATTTAAATAAACTGATCTATGTAAACAGTATTGATATGAAATAAGCTGAAAATTAAAAACAAACAAACAAAAGAAACCTTTTAATGCTGGTGACACTGTAACAGAAATATTTTTCCTTCATGGCCTTAAGTTAAGATAAGTTATTGTCCTATGAAAAAGTAATTAGCCCTAAATTTAATAACTGGTTGTGCCACCCATGGCAGCAACAACCGCAAAGTGGGAATGAGTCTTTGACATTGCCATGGAATAATTCTTCAAGTGTGGTTATAATTCACAGGGTTTTCAAGCATTACTGGCCTATTTAAGGTCATGCCAAAGCATCTCAGACTGAGGCAAGTGATGCCTGCAGTTCTTTAGATGATGTTCTGGGCTCTTTTGTGGCCTCCTGGATGAGTTACTGATGGAGTGATTTTTGTAGGCCAGCCACTCCAAATTCACCACTGTGGCAGGTTTTCTTAACCTATGAATAATGACACTCACTGTGGCCTTAGGAGAGCTTGGTAACACCTTTCCATCTTTGTTTCTCATCTGTTCTTTAGTTTCTTTAGATGGTAGTACACTGTGTTGCGTTTTGAGATCTTTTAACCTACCTACTACACTTTGTCTGACAGGTTCAGTTTCATTTAAGTGATTTATTGATTCAACAGGTCTGGCAGTAATCAAGCCTGGTTGTTGCAAGTAAAATTAAACCAAAGTTTCCAAAAACATGTTAGTGTGACAAATAGGGGGGGAATCAGGAAGGGATTAGATACTTTTTCACAGCACTGTAGGTTTCAGTTAGTTATATTAAACACGGTCTCACAATAAGTAGAAGTAAGTACAAAAGGCAGCGCCTGTATGACTCCCAACTCACTAGGATTATGTTCGTGTTGATGAGGAATGACACAGACAGCTGTCGATTGTCGGTCCATGTGCAATCAGCCGTACAGGGCATTTTAAAGGTAAGTTTTAAAAGAATAGTGGCGCGCTGAAAACAAATACCAGGCCTTTTCTGGCGGTATTCTTTCTGATGGTATAGACAGAACCTACATTTGGACGATTTTCTAAAGCGACAGCCAGCTGGGCATCATGTCACACGGCTAGCCCAGAGAGAGCTAGCCGTAAACAGCTGCCATTAACACACTAACTTTATGCTAACTTCATGATAAGCATGAGTTGGTGGATTACACCGTCACCTTACCAACTCGTAAATGTTGCTGAAATTTTTCTGAGCCTTGCTTTTCTTTGCCTTTCGGCCGTCACTTTTCTTGTTGGAAGGAGAAACGTTAGCCGCGTCCAACTGCTCCTCTTCAGCCTCAGCCTCAGCCTGTTCCTCCGGGGTGTCACCCAAAGTTAGATCCCCCAAGTCTAACGCCTCCTGGCCTCGCTGTTTCCCTTTAAGCCTTCGAAGAGCCCGGGTAGACATTCTCTGATACTCATGAGGTACACACACTTGAATATTAACGACTAAAAGTGTTGTTTTGCTAGCAGACAGGCACAGCAGACTAATGAACTGAGGACGAATTCCATTGGGTTTCTTTTCTTCTTCATCGAAATGTTTCTGCGCTTCTCCGTTTGTTACTGCCATCCATAGGATAGATGAGGAATTGCAACAATAAATATAAAACGGTCACTACGCAAAGTACGTAAGAACAGGAACAGGCAGGCAATAAATTGTCAAACTAGCAAGACAGAGGATGGGAGAGCAAGATAAATATGTCTACTAGGGAATACACAACCCAAGCCATTAAAAGCCATGCAATTTAAATAACTTGCACAATTAATGACGCTAGATTTATCGATAAATTATCAGAACTTGTAAAATGTGTTTGTATGACCTACATCTGAATTTCATACGAGTTGGACACAACTTATTTTGACATTTGTTAAGTTATGTGTTTCTATAGATTTTCCACGCTTATTTCATTATTTAAAGAAAAATCATGAGCATTACAATTAAGCTCAGTTGTTTTATAATTTATTTTGAATGGTTTGAAAATAACAAATGAATCAACGAAACTGACTTCATAACTAGTCTTACTTTGCCTTTGAATCAACATCTAATGCAGCACAACTTTGTTTGTAGTTCTCTCGTTGAACAGGAGGTGGCAGAATTAACCTACTTTATAAACAAGACAAACAACTTTTCTAGCAGCATAAAAAACCCGTGAAAATACGCAGATTTAAGGACATTAAATTGAATATGAATCATATTGTCTTGATGATTATTTTAAAAATACAACATATACATTAAAATGCTTTTAAATAGATCAAACACTGTACATTAGTGCTAGGCCCCAAACTAAAATGAAGAACTACTGTACTACTATGGTTTCTACACAGAATCCACAAAACCCATGGATTATCATCTGACAGTATGCATTATTCATAAGCAGATGCCTATTTATAGGGATAACCAGCTGCCTGACAGGTCAGCTGTGACACACACACACACACACACACACACGATTATAATACAATACATAAACATGCAGAACTTGTCTGACAACCAGCACCTAAACCAAATGAATGATCCTAAGATTTTTTTCCCTTTGTAAGCCAACAATTGATGGCAATATGACAAAAATGCAGAAGAAGAAAGAAACAGCTGAGACAAGAAAGGGAAATTCTGACATATTGAAAGTGTGTACATTTGCAAAATGGGGAAGTTGCATTGCTTAAAATAATTTACCACAGAAACCTTGTAGAATAGAGATTTAAAGAATACGCCTACAACACATAATGAGTCAAAGGATAAAAGGAGTTTATTTACAACACAGTGAAAATGCTAGCAAAAAGTTTAATAAATGGCTTAATGTCAGCCAGATACAGTCAAAACCAGCAGGTCCATTTATTCCTGTTAAACAGCATTGGGATGAGCTGCTTTTTAAGAAATACGTAAAGGGTTAAAACACGGTGTAATTATTTTGGATGCAGAAAAACTTAAAACAAATTGACAATATTTATTAGCGGATGACACTTAGCAGCTACAGTGTTTACATTTATATTCTGTTGTCTGATTTTTCTTTCTTCGTTGAACAAATTATTTCCTTCATTTTCTCCTCCCATTTTTCTCCAAGTTGAGGTAAGGAGGTGTGTGTCTAACTTGTTGCCCAGTCAACAGAAACACTAAACTTCAGAAAAACGTTGTTCATCCAGAGTTACACAATCCAGTAAACTCCAACTGTAACTGGTTATTGATTGAAGCTATACTGCTTATTCATCATCAGTAACAGACATGGGGTTGTCATAGGCGGATTTTTCAAGGTCGCCTGCTTGTTTCCTGCGCATCTCTGGAGGAGGTCTAGGTGGTGGATTCTGAGGAGGATTCTTGATGCTCTCTGCAACTGGTTTTCGGGTCTCCTTCCGTGGAAGAATGGGCTCCCAATGCTCGCCTCGTATAGCGGCCTACAAAGCAAGAAGATGACAAATCAACAATGACTGGCTTGTGGATGATTAAGTTAAGCATGACTGAAAGTTACTGTTAAAGTCTGAAAATTAGGAAGATTATTATTACTGGTCCTTATCTTTGACACTCACAGTAGTTTAGAAAATATAAAAATAAACAGTGCAACCTCGAAAGCTTCCACAGAGATCCACAGAGGTGTTGAGGAATTCAGTCACACCCCTAACTGTTCAGATTTCACAACTACATCTTTCAACAGAGGTGCCAGTAACGAAACAACCTCTTCCTTGTTGCTATTTCCTTGTTTCCACTAACTGGCCAGTTCCTGCTTCAGTTAACAACTTTATCAAAAAGTTATTTAACTTGCTGGACAAAAGAAAAATAAATGGGTTAAAAGCTGCAAACTTACTGCAAGGTAGATGAGGCTGGCAATGCCAAGGCAGACACATCCGAGAACAGTGGCAAGCATAAAACCTCCAGGTACACAGATGCTGAGGAAAAAAACAAAAACAAAGGGATTTTGATGACAAAAGACAAAATAAACCAAGTCATAATCCTTGACTAATCGACAGTGATTGAAAGCTGTTTGGCAAAGATAGCAGCTGAGATAAGAAACTCACGCAGCATGTAAGAATGCCCTGACATAGTAATTCCTGGTCAGTGGTCCAAAGGCTTTTACACACACAGTGAAGCAGTACTGGCCCCTGAGAGAAATTAAGACACAACGATGAGCAATTTAGAACTTGTCCATTAAAGTCCAGCACACATCCAAATGAATAGTGTTTGCTTACGTTCTCTCCACACTCGTGCCCTTGGCCCTCTTGCTTCTGGGATACTCAAGTAGACACACAAACACCCCAGCAGCACTAGTTATCTGTCAAGGTGTTTTCTTTAAAATAATGTTCTTTATTTGCATGCAAAGTGTCACACAGACATAAAAACAGAAACAATATATCATCATCAGTAAACACAGTGCACTAAGTCAACAGGACCAAAAGAAGTCAGATAAGAATGCTCACTGAGAGAAGTCTGAGAAGTGAAATTGAGATAAACACTGGTGACGCTGAGCAGGTTCAGCAGGCAAAGACAATAATGAATGAGAGCATTGTTTCTAATACAAAAGAGAATATGTCCATTATTTCATAAGAATAGCTACTTGGGGAAAAGAAAGTACTTTCCCATGTTGTATTTTTGCCATTAATGAATAAAAAGAAATAATGTTCTTGCATGTCAGTGTGAACATTGTTAAGCACAGCATCGGCTAAATCCATAATACTAGAACATTTGGTCAGGTTTGAGGTTAACTTGCTGCATAATTGTGCTTAACATACTGTGTGATCCATCATATACATTTGACAGTTATTGTATTAATAACACTCGTTCAACTGCTTGACAATAAAAACACCAATTCAGTCACTAATGAGGCTGGAACAAAATGCATTTTGAAATATATTAATAACTTTAAATAAGCCTTAGAGAGAAAGAAAATTCACCCACTGAGCTGCGAAAACACTTCCTGCTGGAAAAGATAGGAGAGGAATGGCTGCACTGATTGAGCGGCAATGCAATAGAAACTAAAATGACATGTTGTGCAGAGAAGGATCTCTGAGCACAAAATCTGTCAAAAAAAAAGCAAATGGTCGTCAGCAGCTTTAGACCACACAGGCTGCAATTTGTGCAGCTAAGAAAAGTAAACAGAGCACACAGTGGGCCCATGAGTGGACATGCATGGCTGGAAAAAACATATTGCCTGGTTGACTGGCGATGACTCTCTTCCTGTATGCATTCCTGTATGCAAACTGTAGCCTGAATACATACTTTATATCAGTTCTAATCGAGAGATTTTTGTGACGTAAATAACATCTGTACTTTATTCTAAGTTATTTAGCATATTATTATTTCTACAACACAGAAAAAGCTTAATAAGCCAAAAATCCAGACAAAATTAAAAAATACAACTGAAAATAAAGGATACACTGCATAAGCAGCAAACTGCCACCCTCTGAACTGTCCAGCAACGCCTACGATTCCTCCTGTGAGGAGAACTGAAAGAAGAAAACAGGAAGATAAGATTAAAATAATACACTCCAGCAGACTGCACAAAGAAAGAGATGGTAAACTGTACTTTATTATGTTGTCAGAAACACTCTGTAAATGAACTAGACAAGAGGCTAAAAGTATAATTCCCTTTGAAAATATTCTGTTTGAATTAAACCGCTCATATAACCGAATAAGACAAGAAGAAACATGCTAAATACCCCCCCCTTTCCCTCCATAATAATAAAGTTTTCATACTCACTTAGACCCGACGCCAAAGCCTGCTCATTAGCCCACATCGCCCACTCAATCTTCCCCATTATGTTAACCTAACAGCGCCTCTGCAACCTCCTGGAGCTCCTCCGGCGTGGATTACCGACGCTGACAATAGTTCCTACAAGGAAGAAAATGTATTTACGAGATTTGAGGGGTGCAGGTGGGCAGGTCAGAGGGCGAGGCTTGTTCTGCCTTAGCCAATCCCCGTTTCAAGCGTCATGTCCGAAAAAATGCAGCGCTACAGCGGAAGAGGAAGAACCGAAAACTCCTGGCAGGTAACACAAAGAGACCGGCTTTATCCCAAGATATTTACACTGTGATTGTTGATTGTGGCGGTGATTGTTAGGTTACTGGAATTTGTAAAAGTTTTTTTTTTCTTTTCTATTATTTGCTGTCCTTTTTGCTGCTTCTGTACCAGAATTATGAGTCAAACTTTTAAAGTTCTGAGATTGAATAGAGAATTATTTTTTCATCTGGATGAGAATCGGATGATGACAAAAATCACAAACAACAAATGAAATCTTGACCAAAATATATTTTATTGTGTGCCATTGACATTGAATTGACATGAATTAAATATGCACTGAAACAAAAAACTGTACAGACAATGATTTGATCAGACAGGTCAGAGAACAATGGGTCAGCTCCGGTCTGCGGTCCAATCTGTATTTATGACTCAGTGCACTGCTCACTGCAAGAGTTTCCACTTATTTACTACCAGTGTCAAGGCAGTATCAGTGTTTATCTACCTGCAGACACACAGAAATGATTAAAGCTATGAAAGAGCACAAAAGAGTAATGATGATATGAAAAGAGACCAAACAGGACAGTTTAATATTTAAAGGGAGACGTATCATCTTCCGCTGTTGTGAGGAAGGTGTCTGGTATTGCTGTGATAAAAGTTGTATGCGACTAAGTCACATTGGCTTCCCTATTGCTCAGTAAAACTCGCTTCTTTAGGGCTGCAGGAGGAAATTACATCATTTTCTTGGGAAAACCATCAGATGAAAGCAGGTGCTGAGTGGGATCCTCTACAACATGCGGGCCTGGTCCAGCCTTGAAGACAATACAAGAAGATGAAACATTAGATTAATTATGTGTGTCTGAGTGTTCACAGCTTCAAATTTATACCTTTATTCTTTCCCCTTGGAAACGTTAGCTTTTCAAATGAAGCACTCACTGGTCAAAGGTTCAGATAACTGTCATGCTCTTTCAGTGCCCTAGTTAAATGGACCAATGCAAGACAATGTTTCATAACAGCATGTTGAAAGGTATTGCATAGACACATCTGAACCTTCTTGCAATCCTACAGCAGACACATCACTGCAGTTTTGTGCAGCATAGATGGATCATTTAAATCTAAAACCTCTGTATCTTTCAGCTGCTGTTTAAAGTAAGCCTATTATACAAAGTTGGAGTAATTGCTTGTGTGGGTAAATATGGGTGAATACCTTAGTACTAATTATGTAGTTTATTCCCTTTGGCATGGGTTCCAGACCAATACCTTGCTTCAGCTCCTCAGAAAGAGAAGCACAGTTGACTGGAAGACCCTTAATAAAGCTGCAGAGAGGAAAGAAGCACTCAGTGACACATTTTAAAAAGGACTGAAGGCCAATACACCTTAATAAGCAAAAGTACAAGTCTACCATTTGTTCTAAAACATTATTCAGATGCAACATTAAGTCCTCTGTGGAAGTCCATTTAGCAGCATTTGCAGGTTCAGATCTTCATAGACATTTCTCTAGATTTATTCTTCTAGGCAGGTTTTTTCTAGCTCAAGCTATTTCTGTGTTTTCAGGTTGTGTGCAATTTGAAGCAGGTTATCTTCATGATCCCTTTCTGAAATCTTTACATCCCTCCATCTTCATGTCCCTTCTGTGGAGAAAGACCCCAATAGTATGCAAGCATCCTGATTCACTTGCCTTCAGCAAGATAATAAGCAGTGCCTGGTATTAGTCAGAAATAGTGGTCTGCTCAGGGAGTTAAGTGTGTGGATCATTTGACCAGTAAGTTGGCTGTCCTTTCAGCAGGTTTTCACAACAACTTGAGGACCTCTGAGGTTCAGTCAGAGCAGACCTTTCTTGCTTGATTGCTTATTTTGGTTGGATGGCAAGGTAACTTCTGGTAAATATCTTCTAGAGATCTTAATCGACTGAGTACAATACACTTTTGGGAACACTCAAAACCTCAGAAATGGTGTTCTTGACCACAGTTTTATGGTCAGTTTTTACAGAGTTTCCTGGACTTTGGGCCTTAATACAATATGATTTGTTAGACTTTCTTTACAGGCACATGCCTTGGTAAGCTGTGCTCAAATCATTTAGGTTTCCACAGTCATGTTGTAGACACGTGTCAAAAATAATTAAAGCAAACAGGATGCACCTGACCAAAATGTTGAATGCAACAGCAAAGGGTTTAAACACCTTGGTAAGAACTGATTTCAGTTCTTGATTTTTAACAAACCAAAACAAGTTTCACTTTCACAAATTTCAGAGTAGGTTAATGGGCAAAAGGTCTGCTTTATCAGTTTTAGATTACACGAAAAGACCTAATACTTTCCACTGTATATATCTATATATATGCATTTAAATGTTGATTTTTCAGGATTAATTAATTGCTATAGACAGATTTTAAAGGGAATGAGCTTAACATCCTTCAACTTACTCTGCTCCGTTGGTTTCTGGGGGAAAGAAATGTTGAACCACGTGCACAAACTCAGGAACGTGCTGCTGTGAAGTGAAGATCACAGCATTGGGCCCTGCATCAAAAGTGTAGGCTACCTATAAAGATAATAAACAGAATGTGACTATTGCAGAAAAAATGAGATTTTCCTGTCTCCAGTTTAAAACCATCCCACATCTTTCACATCTTCTTTACGGCATCATAAAAAAAAAATGGATTATTTTTAACACATGAGGAAATTAAGTTTTCTTTATTTCATTGAAAGCATGGTATGGTGTTGAGTGATCGTCTGGCAACATGTCCGCTGTTAAACTAAACTCTCGCCCTATATCAGCTGGGACAGGCACCTGTGACCCCAAGTCGGATGAGTGGTTAAGAAAAATCAATTTCATGGAAAAACAATAAAATAAAATGGAAATAAGGGAATGGAAATACAAATATGTATAAATAAATAAAGTCCAGTGCCCAGATATTTCTCCCATAATGCCACTGTAATAGCTGCTCACCCTCGTCTCCCCGCAATGCTTGTTGTAACGATGGACCAAGCTGATGATCTGCTGCGAAACATGATTGAGGTAGAAGATAGGGGGGTACGTGTCGAGGCAGGTGGCATGAAACTGGTTACTATCCTTCATGGTTAGTTCAGCAAATGCAGTAAAGTCCTTTTTTCGTATTGCTTCAGTCATCTCTACCATCCGGCCTGGGACAACAGATTCAGCGCGGTGCTAACACAGGCACACACAGACACAGGTATGACAGTGAGACATGTGTTGTATTAGTGAGCTGGGTTTAAATAAAGTGCCAATCGATATACATTAAAATTCTGACATTTGCAGTATAAGGTGAACAAACCTTTAATAGGCAGCTTGTTTTTACACTGGTTTGCATTCCAGAGGTGCTGCCAACTGGCTTCCGCTCTGTACTGGCCTGTGACAGAAGTGCATCAAATTGATGTAACTTTTGCATTCCTGCATTTGTAAAAGCGCAAATTCATCAGCATTATTTTCACTTATTTAGTGTCACTCTCCTATACCCACAATCAGACCTACCACTAGTACGAGGATTCTGAGCTCAGGCCAGTGAGTCTCTGGCTCCACCTGCTGGGCTAAACTGTCCTTCCCATCCTCTTTGTTTCCCATGATCCACTGGACGAAACCTCCATACATGCTCCGGCATGCGCTGCCAGAGCCTTGACGAGCAATCCCAGACAACTCTCCTTCTACTCCAAACACCCGAGCCAGAGAGTAAACTGCGCCACAGAACAGTCAAAAAAACCCCAAAGACACTGGGACTAAGTGAAGCAATATCAACTATAAGAAAGATGGAGATGTTAGCAAAAGTGAATTATAGCACAGACAAGCTCACCCAGGCAAGCAAATCCAGCTGCTGAAGAGGCGAGTCCAGCAGCAGTGGGGAAGTTGTTAACTGAGCAAATGTGGACTTTGTGTGACAAACTAGCTGAATCCACGCCAGAGTCTCCATCATTACGCCTCTTCCGTGCCAATCGTCGAACTAAATATAAAGAAAAAAGAAAGAAAACTACATTGTAGTATGCACTCCCTTCTGCCAGCTCTATGATTTTACAAATATAATGCACAACACTCACTCTCTCTCAGACAGGACTGCAGTCTGGGATGGGTTATGTCCTCCTCTTTACCGTTGAGCCATATTCGATCCTCCTGAAATGATCTGCTGGTTGCAACTGTAGTGGTTGTTTTCAGCTAAGCAGAAGAAGAAAGGAAGGTATGTTTGTATTAAGCTGCATTTACAGTAGTGTGCAAAAATCTTGAACCATCCCTGATTTTTTTCAATTATGTTTCCAAGAACCAGACCTTTTTGTAGTTTTTTAAGAGTGCTCGAGAGCAATAGTTCTCCAGGCATTCTGAAGTTCTTTCAAAGTTTTACTTTGGACATTGGATGCTTTTATACACATTTTTAGTCCAGTCCTTGTACCTAACCACTTATAGAGGGATCTGTTTTTGTTTATTAAGCCACTTAAAACTGATTTATCAATCACTCAAGCATAAAAAAGGCACCTAACTCAAGGGATGAACCAGTGTTATGTCCATACATAACAGACCAATTAGCCAAACCAATTTTAAATTGTATCTTTAAGAACTTTGTTACTTCAGCCCGTTCCAAAACATTTCGTGATTTCTTTAGGTAAAGCTACATAAAATATAAAAATGCATTTTTGCACCAAGAAGATGATTCCCAAAGCGTTATTTGCCAAAAGCATATCTCATCATGGGTGTGCAGTGTGTTCTTCAAAAAGGACCAAAGAACTGACAGATCCTGACAGAGAACAGAACATAAAAGCAGCAAACATGCAAAGAAGAGCAAAAGAGAAACTAGAGAAATAATGGTGCTGTGTGTAGTAGTGCATGTTATTACTAATATAACATAATATCCAATGTGAAGCCTAGAGACATGTGAAAAGCACAA